AGAGAGTGTTCAAAAGTCATCTCCAGGAGGATGTCCGCCAAGAAACCTTTGATGGCCATGATTTCAAGATTCTCATTGAGCAGGGGGCTGATCCCAACACAGAGTTGGACGGTACATATGCCTGATATTCCTATTCTGTCAGAGATACCCTGATCAACTGCCAACAGGTTCCAACCCAAGTCATATTACGACCCTTCTCCAGTTTGCAGCGTATAAAGGGAATGAAGTTCTTCTCAAACATCTTATTGAACACGGAGTCAGGGACAACGGTGGGTAGTAGTACATCCATTGTTCTGCACACATAGCGAAATGCCAATTTAGGAGAGGCATCCGCGTAGCTGGTAAAAACGGCCACATTGGAAGTGCCCAGATCTTAGGAAAGTTGGGAGATAAATCCAACATAATGCGAGGTAGGCAGAGTTTACTTCGTGTTTTGTTCATGGTTGACGGAGTTGCCTGAAGAAACAAAGCAAAGAGCAATTCATCTGGTCATGGAATCACTAAAGGATTCGTACTCCGGAATTCGTCGGGCTGCCATTGAATCCCGGGCAAGACTCTCATCACAAGGTCCACATCGCCTTCTCTGCCTCAAGCATTTTTGCATACTGAGCCTGGGTTGTAGTCGCACTTCAGCAAAATGTTCAGTCCACTATTCATTTAGTTGTACAATCCCTGGGAGATTATGACTCCGATGTTCGTCACGCAGCAATTGAATGCTTTTCAAGTCTCGCAGTGCAAGGTACATATTGCCTTCTCTGCACCATTTTTGCATACTGAGCTTGGGTTGTAGTGGTGTTTCAGCAGCACATGCAGCCCTTTATCCCGTTGGTTATACAATCTCTCGGAGATTCTAACCCCGATGTTCGGCAAGCGGCAATTGAATGCCTTTCAATTCTTGCAGCGCAGGGTACATGTCGCCTTCTCTGCCTGAAGCATTTTTTGCATACTGAGCCTGGGTCATAGTCGTGTTTATGCAAGACACTCTGCCAGTGATCATGGTAGTCAAGGAATCACTCAAGGATTCTGACTGGAGAGTTCGTCAGGCAGTGATTGATTCTCTGTCCAAGCTCGCAGCACAAGGTATATACCGTCTTATCCACCCATTGCCCTTTCACACTCTGAGCCGGGGTCATAGCCATCTTTGAGCAGGACATCCTGCCGGTGATCACCGTGGTCAATTCACTGAAGGATTCTGATTGGAGAGTTCGTCGGACAGCGATTGACTCCCTGGCAAGACTTGCAGCACAAGGTATATATTGTCTTGTCTGCCTATAGCCGTTTCGCATTCTGAGCCTGCATCGTAGTCGCATTCACTGCGTTCAAGGCTCCCCTAGCCTCAGTCTGGAAAGGGGTGTATAGGTCTGTAAAGGACTGCCCAGGAGGCTAAACAGAGTCAGTGTAGGTCTACTAGACGGACCTGACCACAATTGTGGCAAAGTGTGCGTAGTGCCTGGCCAGTTGTGTATAGGTCACCTAAGCTGACCCTGTGTAGGCCAGTGCAGGTACCTAAACTCATCTCTACCCAACTACACTGGGGTCAGTCCCGTGTTTATTCAACCAAAAATTAAAATTTCCAACACTTCCGACTGTATTCCGAGAAGGTGAGTCTAGGAAGCCAGGCAGACCTAGCCTGACATATACATACCTTGGCAGACCTACGCACATCTACACACAACTACACAGAACTAGACAGAGCTACACAGAGATTGTGTAGGCCCCTAGACAGATGTGGTCTGCCCAGCTAAGCATAGCGACCTTGCCAGATGGTAAGTCTAGGGGGGCCTTGAACGCAGTGATTTCAGCAAGACATTCAGCCTATTATCCCGTTGGTCATACAATCACTGGAGGATTCTGACCTCTGTGTTCGTCACGCAGCGATTGAATGCCTTTCAAGTCTGGCCGCGCAAGGTATATATATCGCCTTCTCTGCCCCGAGGCATTTTTGCATACTGATGTGGGTTGTAGGGGGGTTTCAGCAGCACATCAAGCCCCTTATCCCATTGGTCACACAATCTCTGCAACAGTCTAAACCCTATGTTCGTGGAGCAACAATTTCCTTCCTTTCACATCTCACAGCGCATGGTACATACTGCCTTCTCTGTCCGAAGCGTTTTTGCATACTGAGCACGGGTCATAGTTGTGTTTGAGCAAGACATTAGGCCAGTGATCACCGTGGTCAAGGAGTCGTTGAAAGATTCTGACTGGGGAGTTCGTCGGGCGACGATTTATTTTCTGTCCAGGCTCGCAGCACAAGGTATCTATTGTCTTGTCTGCCCGTAGCCCGTTAGTCTGAGCCTGGATCGTAGTGGTGTTTCAACCCGACGTCCGGCCCTTGATCCCATTCGTCATACAATCACTGCGAGATTCTGACTTCGATGTTCGTCAAACTGCAATTGAATGCCTGTCAGGTCTCGCAGCAAACGGTGCACATTGCCTTCTCTGCCGGTGCATTTTGGCTTACTGACGCTGGGTCATAGTCATGTTTCAGCGGGACATCCTGCCGGTGATCGCCTCGGTCAAGGAATGGCTGAATGATTCGGAATGGAGAGTTCGTCGGGCAGCGATTTATTTTTTGACCTGTATCCAGGCACAAGGTATATATTGTCTTGTCCCGCAATAGCCCTTCCGCATTCTGAGCGTGGGTCGTAGTGGTGTTTCAGCAAGACATTCATCCCATCATCCCTTTGGTCATGCAATCGCTGGGAGATTCTGATGTTCGTCGAGCAGCGATTGAATGCCTCTCAGGGTTCGCCGAGCAAGGTACGTATTATTTTCTTTGCCTAAAGCATTTTTGTGTTCTGAGTCTGGGTCCTAGTTGCATTTCAGCAGGATGTTCAACCTATAATCCCTTTTGTGGTACAATCATTGGGAGATTCTGACTCTGAGGTTCGCCAAGCAGCGATTGAATGCCTCTCAAGTCTTGCAGCGCAAGGTACGTATCACCATCTCTGCCTCAAGAATTTTTGCATACTGAGCCTGGGTGATAGTGATGTTTAAGCAAGACATCCTGCCGGCCATCACTGTGGTCAGAGAATCGCTGAAGGATTCTAACTGGAGAGTTCGTCGGGCAGCGATTTACTTTCTGGCTGGACTTGTAGCACAAGGTATACATTTCGTTGTCTGCCCGTCGCCCTTTCGCAGTCTGAGCCTCGTAGTAGTGTTTCAGCAGGAAATTCGGCCTATTATTCCTTTGGTGATACAATCGCTGGAAGATTCTGATCCCAATGTTCGTCAAGCTACGATCGAATTCCTGCCCAATCTTGGAGAACAGGGTATTTCTGCTTTCGTTATTTCATCCGCTATTAATATCTGATCCCTCCAGATCGCGAAATCGTTGTCATATATATATTTGAATTAATCACCAAGGCAAAGATGGGACGGGAAACCGCCATAGTAGCTCTGTCGGAGTTGTTGGTGCGGCCATACTAGCATGCTTTTGCGTCATTGGTGTCTTGTGCCGAATCGTGCCGATAAGAATCAAACAATGATTGTAAAATCTGTTGTGTTTGTTACCGGAAGAAATAAATTATTCTGAGTCGTTAGACCGATGCATGATATGGCAAAATGGGGGGCAACCCCGCCATTCCAAGGATGATGGCCAATCGGTCGGGAGACTGATTAAAAGCGAACCTGCCGAGCGGCGAAACCCCCAGCAATTTGAGGGCATTTCCGGTCAAATGAAACCCTCGGAATGATTCGTGACCGCCTGCACCTCCTCCGTATGACCCCTGCCCTTTTGAATCTCGCAGAAATCCCGCATCTGTTCCGGACCTACTCCCCCATGCCCTCTATCGCCCAACCGCGTCTCACTAGGGAATTTACCCGTTCGATTAGAGTCTGGGTCATGACTTGGAGTGTTCGTTTTTTCTGCTCGATTTGAATTCCAGAATTCACCCTCGGCTGCTTTTATTTCCTCCGCACCGTTCAAATTACGCGCAACATTATCAAACCTCATCTCTGCAATAGATATCTTGATACTCAGATAGGTCCATCGTTGCAATATCGCACACAAAATTTATTCAATCTCATCGAGGCACCGTCAGTTTAATTACCTCGTTTGGTTCATTTCTCACTCAACATATCCAGGGTCGAAATAAGGCAAATATAGACCCAGTGGCGGATGATCCACTTCCTTAGGCTTGCGGGATTGATGAAGTTTAAGGAGAAGTCGCCCGTTCAATTCGGGCCTGGGTCATGACTCATACGTAGTCCCTTTTTTTTGGTAGTTCTGTTTTGCCATCGATTGGATTTACACATTGATCACCCTCGTCTTACTTGCGGCCCACCACACCTCACCCGCGAAATATCGAGTGAGTCGTGATTCATGCACCCTTCCGTTCGAATTACCATTGCAAATTCTACATTTCTCACCCGGCTTATTCAGGTTCGAAATGAGGCGGATACAGACCCAGTGGCGGGTGGTCCGCATCTCCAGTTCTTTGCTGGGAAGGCAAGATTTAAGGAGAAGTAGCTCGTTCGAGTCGGGCCTGGGTCATAGTATATTGTGGCCATGATTTTATTGTTTTGCCTCGAATTGCGCGATTTCACACTTCCGGGCCTTATTCCTCGCCTGTGGTGCAATGCAGAGGATATCCTCCAGATGCACCGCTCTGTCCTTGACTCCTTGTCAGTGCTGTGATTTTGCGCCCCCCCTGTCCATTTCTCACTCGACATATCCAGGCTCGAAATAAGGCGGATACAGACCCAGTGGCGGATGGTCCGCAGATCCATTGTTTGAGCCAGCCTGGTACAGTAGTTAAGGAGACGTAGCTCGTTCGATTCGGGCCTGGGTCATCATATGACTATGATCAGCTTTGTTCTTCTTTTTTCTTTTTTCTTTCTGTCTTGCTTTCATGCCAACCAGCCTCCACTTGCTGCGGCTCATTCTCTGAGATCGAAGCAAACATTCACCTTTTCATTCGAATGTACTGTTGCATATTCCATCGCTTTCCTGGTTATTTCGCATCCAAGTTATTCAAGGTCAAAATAAGCCGAGTACAGACCCAGTGGCGGATGGTCCGCATCTCCGTCTCTTTACAGCATTTCGAGGGAATCCTCTGTAAGGAGAAGTCGCCCGTTCGATTCGGGCCTGGGTCATAGGTGCTGGGCGATGTTTTTCTTCTTTTTCTTTCCTTGCTCTGACTTTCCGTTATTTCACTTCCAGCATACTCGATATATGTCTATGCGCGCAATACGGAGAGAAATTATTCACCGTGGAGGATACAGCACCGAATGTATGTGACCCCATAGTTCGTGTTTATTCAGGCTCGAAACAAAGCGGATACAGACCCAGTGGCGGATGGTCCGCATCTACATTCTTTAGGTAGTTTGCCAGTTTGGTAAGGAGAAGTCGCCTGTTCGATCTGGGCCTGGGTCATGACTTGGGCTGTTCTGTTTTTTTTTTTTTCTCTTCTCGTTCCTTTCTCGTTCGACTTGACTTTGGTGTGAAAGGGTGTTGCAGTGCACTCTACAAATACCCCACCCGCGAAATATCGAGTGAGTTGTCATTCACTCACGCTTCGAATGTACTATTGCAGATTTCACCTCTCCCTCGTTCAATTCCCACCCAATTCATCCAGGTTCGAGACAAGGCAGATACAGACCCAGTGGTGGATGGTCCGCGTCTCCATTCTTTAGGTCGGCCTGGTACAGTAGTTAAGGAGAAGTAGCCCGTTCGAGTCGGGCCTGGGTCATACGCCAGCATTCAATGGTTTTTTTTCCCCACATTTTTATGGCTTGTCTAGCCATCGATTGGACTTATACACTGATCTTCGTCGTCTTGCTTGCAGTACACCACATAAATATCTCTGACCTCGAAATATCGAGATGAGTCATGATTCAGGTTCCCTTCGATGCATTATGCAGCCTTCGCATCTCTCTTGTTTATTTCTAGAATTCTCACTCAACGTATCTAGGCTCGATTCAAGACGGATACAGACCCAGTGGCGGATGGTCCGCGTCTCCACTTCCTTGCGGGAGTGATGAAGTTTAAGGAGAAGTAGCCCGTTCGATTCGGGCCTGGGTCATCCACCAGAGTTCAAACCTTTTCTTTTTCTTTCCTGACTAAACTTTTGCGTTTGCATATATTTCACAATGAGCGCCATCGTCTTATTTGGTATGCACTAGCTACCCACCTACCCGTGCAATATGGAGAGGAATTATAACTTTCCGTTGGATGTACTGTTGCGATCTCACCGCTTTCTTCGTTATTTTTCATTCGCATTATCCAAGTTCGAAGCAAGAGGGATACAGACCCAGTGGCGGGTGGTCCGTGTCTCCGTTCTTTGAGCCAGCCTGGTACAGTAGTTAAGGAGAAGTAGCTCGTTCGATTCGGGCCTGGGTCATCCCCCAGAGTTAAAACCTTTTCTTTTTCTTTCCCGACTGAACTTTTGCGTTTGCATATATTTCACAATGAGCGCCATCGTCTTATTTGATGTGCACTAGCTACCTACCCATGCAATATGGAGAGGAATTATAACTTTCCGTTGGATGTACTGTTGCGATATCACCGCTTTCTTGTTGATTTTTCACCTTGCTTATTCAAGATCGAGGCAAGGAGGATGTAGACCCAGTGGCGGATGGTCCGCGTCTCCATTCTTTGGGCCTGGTACAATAGTTAAGGAGAAGTAGCCCGTTCGATTTCGGGCCTGGGTCATCCGCCAGAAATCTATCGTTTTTTTTTTCACATTTTTTATGGCTCTGTCTGGCCATCGATTGCACTTACACGCTGACCACCCTCGTCTTACTTGCAGCCCACCACACCCCACCCACGAAATACGAAATATTGAGTGAATCGTGGTTCACGTTCCCTTCAATGCATTGTGCCTATGCAGCCTTCGCATCTCTCTTGTTCATTTCTAGAATTCTCACTCGACGTATCCAGGCTCGAGATGAGGCAGGTACAACCCAGTGGCGGATGGTCTGCGTCTGCATTCCTTTGATCGAGAAATACAAAATTGAAGTAAGGAGAAGTCCGTTCGATATGGGCCTGGTCATACGCCAGCATTCGATGGTTTTTTTTTTCACATTTTTTATGGCTCTGTCTTGTCATCGATTGGACTTACACACTGATCACCCTCGTCTTACTTGCAGTCCCATAAATATCCCACCGACGAAATATCGAGCGAGTCGTGATTCATTGATCCTGACCTTCGAATAAACTACTGCACATTTCATCTTTGTTGGTTATTTCTCACACGATGTATCCAGGTTCGAGATGAGGCAAATGCAGGCCCAGTGGCGGATTGTCCGCATTCGTAAACTTACCAACGCGTACGGGGTAGCCGCCTGTTCGATCCGGGCCGGGTCATAGATATTCAGCGATTTTTCTTTTCTTTTTTCTTTCCTCGCTCTGACTTTCCGTTATTTCAATACCCGCGCAATACGGAGAGAAATTATTCACCATGGAGGATACAGCACCGAGAGTATGTGGCCTCATAGTTCATGTTTATCCAGGCTCGAGACAAGGTGGATACTGTAAAGACTACATGAAACTGAGTGTTGAGTGGGGGAGGAATGGCGGAGAAAATTAATCAAAGAACTCCCAACCAGGACCAAGACCCAGGTCCGAATCGAACAGACTCCTTCTGCTGACATGCGCAAAGCTTCACGAAGGCACGCAGACGCGGACCATTCGGCACCGAGTCTGTACCTGCCTGGTGTCAAACCTGAATAAACCGAGTGAGAAATGAACACTGTAGAAATTTGTGGGTGGGTTCGAACAGGGGATGCAATAAATAGATGTTTGTATTCAAGAAATCTTGAGGGCTTTTATACCTTGAGAACAATGGTACAAAGCTGCTCTAAACAAAGTGCGTAGTACAATGAGTATCCAAGAAGTCAGTAGTTTCAGACCAGCTGAAACTACGCAACGCAATGTTACGCGTCTCATTGTGGCGTCTCCATGCACAGCATGGTGGCGTACATGCCTGCGTACGTCTCGGCTTGCTGAATATTCCAACAAACACGAGGTACAAAATGACAAGACCGACAAGGACAGAGCGGAACACCTGGAGGGATGTCGATATCTTCTGCACTGCTGTGAAATTCGACGCAAAAGCCAAGTCAAGAAAAAAAGAAAGAAAGGCAAAACAAGACGAGCACAAACTCATGACCCAGGCCCGAGTCGAACGGGCGACTTCTCCTTAAATCATTCCTCCTCCCTAGTGAAGAACTGGAGATGCGGACCACCCGCCACTGGGTCTGGATCCACTTGTCCTGACCTCGAATAAATCCCGTAATAAATCAACCACACAAAGACCTAGTGGGTGGGCTCCCACTCACAGTCATAGTATCATCGTGACCTACGGTGGACCTGTTGGGTCACTCTGATGGATGGCTGCGAGATTCGAAGCAAGAGAGGACCAATAAAAATAAAAATAAACCGTCGGTCGCCGATTTATGACCCAGGCCCGGTTCGAACGGATGGCGTCTCCTCGCAAGTCTGAGAAATTGAAGTCATCAAGGAATGGAGATGCGGACCACCCTGTACCCAGCTTGGTTTTGACTCAAAACATGGGCTCCACAAGTCTGCCAGGTGAGTTAGTAGATTGCAAACTCACCAGCCTTCGCCGCTCATTTATTACGGGATGTATTCGAGGTCGAAATAAGGCAGGTACAGACCCAGTGGCGGATGTTCCGCGTGTCCAGTTCTTGAAACCGAATAATGCGAAGTAAGGAGAATTCGCCCGTTCGATCTGGGCCTGGGTCATTGTTCCTTCTTCTTCTGACGCATTTTTCTCAATTTGTTGTAGTTCTGTCTTGCTTTCGATTGGATTCACACACTGAACAGGCGCGTTTTATTTACAGTGCACTCCAAAGACTGCGCTCACGAGATATCGAGTGAGTCGTGAGTTATCCCCGCGAATGTATAAAATATGGAGAGAGAGGTAAAGCCTCTGTGGTTCATTTCTCTCATTTTATCCAACCTCAAGATAAGGTGGATACAGACCCAGTGGCGGATGGTCTGCATCTCCATCTCTTTATGCCAATGAAGAATGGTAAGGGGAAGTTGCCTGTTCGATTCGGGCCTGGGTCATAGGTGCTGGGCGATTTCTTGTTCCACGCTTCATCACACACAAGAAAAAGAATCGAAGAGACAGCCGCATATATTTGTTGGGTGTGGAGAGAGCAGCGGGGGACCGATCCGGAACCGCTGATCCCCAGGTCGTAGGGCGCTGGGAATGGGCGAGAATGAACCCCAAAGAAGGCCCTACTGTGCGAACTGTCTCTGGACTAAGAATACTGCTAAAAGTAGACTAACACGGATAAAACGTTAGTTGATTTTGAGTAGAAGGCGTGGGTGGGCGGGAAAGCTTTGCAGTTGCACCGGACACAGAGCGAACGGCGCCGAATGGCGGATGGAATCGCGAGGTACGTGGCGGAGTGTCGTGGTCGTCAAGAGAAAGAGAGTCCTGTCACACGTCACTTCGCTGTCACAAGAAGATGCACTGCCTAGCACTGCCATCGCTAGCTCATCAGTGCGCCCATCTTGTTCCACGCTTCATCACACACAAGAAAAAGAATCGAAGAGACAGCCGCATATATTTGTTGGGTGTGGAGAGAGCAGCGGGGGACCGATCCGGAACCGCTGATCCCCAGGTCGTAGGGCGCTGGGAATGGGCGAGAATGAACCCAACAGAAGACGCCAGACGAGGGCATTCCCAACACCCATGGCTAACCCAACAAACGGCGGCGGCAGATCAAATTCGGCGAAATTGTTCTTTGAGATAGAAGAGGATGGGGAGAAAACGACTTCTGGGAATCTAGGAATTGGATGTCGAAGAATGGTATGGTTGAACCCGCATTGAATATAAAAACGAGCTGTTATGCGGCTATGCCGACTCGACGCGTAGGTCTGTCCCATGTGATAGTTTCGGGAAGGACCATATCGAGGCGACACCGACTGTGGATGAATTAAATCGAGGTGAATGGGTCTGATGAGGGTGTGGTGGGCCAGGAGAAGCACCGAAGGCATCGAACAGGGTGTATGACGACTCGGACACCTCGAACAAGAGCTATAAGATTGCGACTACGACTCTTGATTTTCTACGAAGATGCAGGTCCGAGAAAACTGCTGGTTCCGCAAGTAGTGTTGG